TAAAACATCAACTATAGGCTTGATACCTTCAGCTTCTAACAACACCTGAACTCCTTCCTCGATATTAACCCCATCATCTAACAAAGTTGACAAGGCTGCTAGTGATGCTTCGATCACCTTCTCATTGGTGTGGTCCAGAAGAGCCACCAACTTGTCTACGGCCTGTCCATCCAAGAGACAAAAGCTTTCTTTTAGGGAACATGTCCCCCTGTGGACCCTACATGATCCCGTTATGAAAGATGATGGCTTGCTGAAACAAGGGAAGATAGATCCACAAAATCCAGGAGCAGGAATCTCTGGCAGTTTGGTCAAGTTTTTGGATTCTTGGGATAGATTCTCTAAAGCCATAGCAGATACCATCTGTACATTGTCAAACCCATTGGCCTGTAGAAGTTCTATGAAGAGTAATGCAAGATTGTGCTCACTACAAAGTGCGAGCATATGTCCCGATTCCTCAGACAAGGCAAATGTAATCCTTGCTAGAACCTTAACAAGCCCATCCAAATATGGGGTCATGAAGCGGCTGCCTCTAGTCTCCCCCTGTCTTATCCTAATTACTCTGGAAATGAACAGTTGGAAGGCACCTTCATATACCATATGACGTGTGAGGCCCACGTCTCTTTCTGGAAGATTGGCCAGAAGCCCGACAGCTGCAGCCTGCTCCTCGGTTATTCCAACGTTTTCCGATATGACCTGGATTAGGCTGCCGAGCTGACTAGATTTACCACACAAGCAGCTGGCTAGCTCTTGCCCCATGTGTGGAGAGAGGTTCTGAAGAAGTTTTATGGAAGCAACCCTCAGATCCCTCTGTGAAGCCTCAATAAACTGAACCAAACTAATAGTAGCACCAGAACTTTTTATAGCAGAAACAACACTGGAAACAGTTGTTGGAGTACTCGTGAGCCCTACAAGAACCTGAAGAAGCTTGCACTCTATCGCAGGGCCAGTGTTGCTAATGAGATGCAGAAGTTTATGAATTATTTCCTCCGATACAAGAGTTTGGTGATCTGGTCCAACTGAGACAGAATGAAAATCATAACCCGAATTCACAACATTCGCAATAATCATCGCCGAAACTTCTTTCAGCCGTGTGGGCAGTTGGTTGGCACCGACTCTGAAGAGATCATTGACAAGGGGGGGAAGTAAACCCGCTTCTATCAAGACCTTGGCACTTTCCTCATCCGATGATATTTGATTTAAAGCTTTAAGAGAAGACTCTCGGGATGGCATATCATTAGTCTTCATGAGATTGATCAAAGATGAACCAGCTGTCCGAGCAACAAAGACTTTCACATCATTGTTTAGAACCAGATCGCCAAGGAGTGCAGCCATTGACAATTTCGTTTCTGGAGAGCCTGGAATAGTTCATGAAAAAATATTATTTTCCATCTTATGCAGATCCCCAACCCCCCACCACTGACCACTCCAACCCAAAATGAAAAAAAAAAAACCCCCCAACACAGAACTTAATGGTACCACAGATGCCCATGAAAATACCATCTCATTATAGAAACTTAAAGTTCTAAGTCAATCAAACAGCTGGCAATCGAGTAGTATAAAAAGACAGAAGATTTTATGAAAACACAAAGGTATTAAGGTCAGCAAAGCACCTTCAAGTAGGAATGTCAGAAGAGGCTGCAATCTTCCATTTTCAGCCATTTGTCTGACGTTGCTTTCACATTTTGCCAGATTGTCCAGTGTTTTATGAGCCTTCTCAACAGTGACAAGATTTTCCGATTTGCTGCTTGACATTCCTACTAATACGAGAATTGCTCCATTGATTGAGCCCATCTTTTCACACAATTTCTCAGATTTGGAGAGCTCATACAGCAACGAAACTGCTTCATCTCTCTCTTTGGATTGCTCATGCCATAAGAATTTAACTATTGTACGTACAGTGTCCCCTTCTGCCATCATTTCCTGCAAAACTAGTAACAGAAAATCAAAAGGGAAGGAACAAAGGCAACTGGAACTAAGATTAACGAGTAAAATGCAAAATAAAAAATTTTCACCATTTGACAACCTTAATATCAATGTCTTCCTCCACCACAATATGAAGGGTTTCCAGAGCCTTGCAGCGAACTCGACGACTGCTGTTAGTCAGCATATGAACAATCATAGGTGTCAGCTCAGCATTACGGATTACATGCTTGTTGGACTCCTTTTTCTGGCAGAGCTGCTGGACAAACTTCAAAGCCTGTAGAATATCACTCTCCATCTCCGGGCTGCCCAGTGATAATGATCTTCGAGCCATGTCAAGCTGAGCAGCTTCATTCCTGGCATTCCATTCTTCAATCGTATTCCTCAAACCAACACTTGGATTTAGTTCCGTGCTCCTTAACTCATTTAGTGTTAATGGGCAGACGAGCTTTCTTCCACTTTCCCTACTTTCCCTGAACCATTTCTCAATGGCTTCTCTTTCAAATGTTCTGCCATTTTCCAAGGCTACAGGATCTCTCATTACTTGTTTCGTTAAAGGGCATATGAATGCATCATAAATGGGCTCAACTCGTAGCTTCTCAGAAAGGTAGCTGTCATCGGACTGACCACTAATGTCGTACCTTCCATCCCAGCTTCCAGCCATAAAATTCAATTCTGTCAAGAAAGCAATTTAGTTCTTACTGATTCCAGCCTCCTTCTGGATAACATGCAAATATTGCCATTTCATTAATATTTCTTTGGCTTTTAAAAGGAAAACAAGTTGAAACATAGTTTATCAGAACTGATAATGACTGACGAAACAACCTCAAACCCCTCAAGGCTGCTGCTCGACACAAGTGATACTTTAGATTATCACAACAATGTCCCTTCTCATCTTTTCCCTTCAATTTTCAGGCCAAAAACAGATCATAAGGAAAAGATATGGCAAAAGTAGAGAAGTATGCAACACGTGAAAAGAAGAAAATTGAGGATGCTTGAACAATTGAACAGATGGAGAAACGGGATTCACTCTACTTGAAAACTAGAAATTTACTAAGCCACAAAAACCAAGAGAAGAAGAACATTGAAACAAAGATCAGCAATTTTATTCCCTTTCAAGACATTGATTTCCCGAACTCACTGTCAGGATTAGTTGAATCATTCCCAGTTCTAATTATTAATAATATGAAAATTTTAAATATACAAGCAATTAGGTTCATAAGAAAACCTTGGCTCTCATTCAAACTTGAATATTTTAAAAGTGTAAGCAAAGCAATTTGAAGAACTACCTATGATTATCAATTCCCACTATTATTTCATCTAGTGCAATAGTTTACAACTCGGCCAGTCAATCGAGTTCAAGACAAGACCAATATCCATCTCAAAACTCTTTAATTTCTTAAAAAATTCAACTACAATTCACTGAAAACGTAAATCAAAGAAATCAGAACAATTACCTGATGGAAATTCTTGGAAACCTTCAAGGACTTTATGGGAAAATCTTCTAATTTCAAATCGGCATTAAAATCTTTTCAAGAAATTGGCAAACTAGAAGAAGAAAATGGTAATTTAATACTGTTGATTGTTCCATGGTTGTCCCATCGAGGTGCGAGAGGAGACGGGAAAAATGGGGCAAGAAAAGAAAGGGGAGAATGCGATGTCAGAAGCTGAAAGCAAGAAGGGTAATGAGAACAAAAAACAGAAATCTTTCTCGTAGTTTAAAAATCTTTGTGGTAAAAAGTTGACTGAGAAATATTAGTCATCGTCGTACTGTGCAAGGATGTTTGTGGACGTAATACGTACATGCACTGCTTTCAAACTCTATGTTCATACTTCTCCATCAATTATTTTTCTTCTCGATACCATTATACCAATGGACACTAAACTTTATATTTAGCAATTAGTCTTTGTTTGAGCCTCATTTTAAATAGTAAATTGATGAAAAATATGTGATTAAAAATTAAGAAAAAAATTTTAGTGTAAGTGTAATATTATTTTATTAAAAAATGTGTAATTAAAAATGAATTTTTAGAAGAATGATTCTCAAACAAAGGCTTAGTATCATCATGGCTAGTCAATTTAATTTTATTTCATCATGGTCATTTTATGACCATCCAATTTGATTTTATTTTACCATAACTAACCAATATCATAAAACGTTTCATCATGGACATTCAACCTCATTTTAAAAGGAGTAAAACAGTAATTTTGCATTATATATAAAATAATAATAAAATAAAAACTTATTTTAAGAAATGTTACTTAAAAAATAGAATAAAATTTTTTTTAGATAAAATAGTTTTATTTTATTTAATTTTTATAAGTACCATTTTTATAAAATAAGTTCTTATTTTATTATATTTTTTAAAATAAAATTTTATTTTTTTTAAAAAAAATTTATTTTATCTATAATGCAACATTACTGTTTTACCTCTTATACAATTAGTAAAAATGGTGAAAAGAAGTTGGGTGATCATAGTAAAACGTTATATGAAATTTAGTGGTCATGATGAAACGTTTTATGAAATTGAATGGTTATAGTAAAATAAAATCAAATTGAATAATCATGGTAAAAAAAACAAACAAACAAACAAATTAAATGATCATGATGACACTAAATATAAAGTTGAGTGACCACTGATAAATTTAAATCAGGTTAAAATTTTTGATTCAAAATCATTTTCATCACTATTATAAAATTGTTACTATTACGTCACTATTCAAGTATACAATTATAAATTTAAACCACTTTGTGAAGTATTTATAGTTGTTTATGTGATTGAACGACTTAGTAAGATGACACTAGTAGTTACCTATTTGACAATCATTAAAATAAGTTTTTAGTGAAAAATAAACTTTGAAATAGTAATTTTTTGAAAAAATGTATGATTAAAAAGTAAAGAAAAAATTTTGAATTTACCTACAGAATACTTAAACTATTTCACAAGTCACATGGTATGAATGAATTCAGCGACTCAAGTCACATCTTGTAAGTTCGATGGCCAACAAAGTTTTTAACCCGTTTATAATTTGTGCTCATTTGGTGCAGGCATACCTCCAATGGAATAACAGTTTTTTTTCTTGGTTGGCACTAGAGGAAACACGAATCTTCTTCTCTTACGAACTGACAACTCGCTCCCCTGAAAGCATTGGAAGAAATCTTTGAACAAAACAAGTTAGCCAGCACCAGGTCCTGGGCATGTTACCCACAGCCTTTCATCCCCTGAGGCTAGCCATGCCCTCTAACTCAACTTTGTGTTGTTGCACACATATTAGCCACAGAGTCGATAGACGAACCGGCTAATCACCGTTCCACATCCAATCGGGACGCATCGCCAACTTCCATTCGCTTTCCTCCTGACAATTTCAAGCAATCTTTTCCTCCTTTTTCAAAGTTCTTTTCCTCTTTCTCTCGCAGTACTTGTTTGCTACCGGCCTTTCACTCATATTTAGCTTTTGACGAAATTTACTGTCCAATTGGAGCGTGTATTAGCCACATGCCTCGTGTGCAGTCCTGGCATTGCCATTATCACTCTATGCGCTTTGCCTTTCTTGCATTCAACAGTATTAGGTTCCTCATTATTTCATATGATGTGTTTGTATGTCAAATGATCAGAAGCAACAGATTATAACTTTGATAATGAACTGGCTAAGAAAAGCAGTCAACATCTCTAAACATAACATTTCCTTATAGTGTTAATGGTACATCGCAATATCGCTACTTTCTTAGTATTGATGAAATAATTTATTGGGACATTGCAATATCACTGCTTTTTTAGTATTGATGAAATAATTTATCGAGAATGGATCTGCATAACCATTTGAAGATCCCCCCATCTTCATTCTAGGTAACATAAAGAGATTTTCAGCATGCAGTGATTGACATGTAGAAGTAGAATGCTTTAACAGATTTCTTCAGGAAAAACCATATCAAATATTAATTGCACTGCAAAGGAAAAGGTAACTATCAGAATAGCAACCAGATAAAACAACTTGTCCTGCTGAGGCCAAAACCGTCAAACTCAGATTGCATCTTAGACACAGGAACCGCATCAAAAGGTTAAAAAATGGTAAAGAAGAATTCTAATGTTTTACATATTGTTACAAGTCCCATAAGGTGATCGGGCATTGCAATTCTAGCAAAATACTCAAATTGTTTGAAAAGCATAAAGCTGCAAGTAGTTATTACATGCTATTCCACATAATGCAACTAAACACAACTCAATGGTTCCTGATCCCACATAGGCACATGTCAAAATACTTAAGGATGAATATATTTGCCCGGAATTTCTTTTCATGCTTAAAGTGTCAACCATTTTTTATCAAAATATGCTTCAAGTACATATTTCAAGTAATATATTTATCCATGTAAGTTTCACCAGATAATTTTAATCTACCTTCTTCTCTGGGAATATTAGGTTGATCAACCAGGAGTTGCCGAAGTGCATCAAGATCACCATCACCACCACTGCAATGAAATCATAACATAATGCAATAATAAACTTCAGAAAAAAGAGTGCATTCAGCAGAACAAGTATACAACAGAAGAAGCAATTGAACTACCAGCATTAAAACCATTAACAGTAGCAAATAGCAAAAGAAAAAGGGGCAAAACTTTTAAGGAAGCCTGCTTCCGCTTTCTCGGCGCGATTTATTGTACTCCTTTGCTAATATTCCAAGTAATAGAAGAGTTCCAAACTCTATATCTATAATGCTGTTCATATAAATATTTAAAAATTACTGAGGTGTAACTCGTGTGATATCAAATAAATTCCAACTGGATATGGACTTTGATAATCAATGATGAAAGATACACCTTAAATCAGCAACAGTAGAATATGGTAACATCAGAGTTCAGAGTTTAGGAATTCATTAAATTATGCACCATTAGAAGTGAATCCATAATTTTGAGTAATGCATAATTCAAATTTTTTTCTTCTCTTATAAGTTGGTTAGCATTACAAAACCTCAAGCTGGAGTTGGAAATTAAACATCAACCCAAACAAACTTGTCACAGTCCCAAACACCGAGGTCATTACATAAAGCCAAAAGCCATTATGTTCAATTAAGATATTATTTTTCAATAAAAACCTACGCTACCCTTTCTGATTGAGAGGAGCTTGTGCAGAACAAAGGATGTGTCTTCAGACTGATGTTCCAAGGGAAAATAAGAGGGCAAAAATTGGATGATACCAAGAAGAGCCTAATCTTTCCATACCTGAGTTTCAACGCAATTTCAGGAAGTGCTGACACCACAGATAATTTAAGATGGTACCTGCATTAGGATGTAGGTGAGTCGTGTTTTAAAAACTTTAGACTCAATTCAATATCAAAGACAAAGTTACAGGATGGGCCAGCCTGGCACAGGCCGTGTGGCCGCACATTTTCTGGCCATGTCAATGCAGGTATTGTCATTTGACAGCTCTATCAGGATGCCAATTTTCATTTTTGTCAAACAATAAACATAAAACCAACTTTAAATAGGTAGCTTGAAGTTTAATTTTAATAGAACACAGGAAAAATAAGAAATCCGTTATTAAACTTCAATGTTCAAATTTTCAGACCTTACATCTTTATACATGAAGGTTGTATGGATAACACTAAGTCCCAATTTCTATTTGTAATGAGACGGGTGGGAGTCTGTTACAGTAACCTCTAGTAAACTATGCGTAACATTGCATTGCATGGTATTACGGTAAACAGTATACACATTTCTGCAGAATAAATGCACATGTTGGTATTAGGAGTGGCCGCATTTGTTATCCATTTCGGTCATCAAAATGAGGAAAAGATAATAAAAAATTGGAGATTTGCAGAGTTTAACATGTCCATACTCAGATTGGTGCATCTCTTCAAGAAGTCTAAGTCCATCCAAACAATCCGCAACACTTGGTTTCACACCGATTTGCTGCTTCAGCTGTTTTGTGGCTAATTGAGCAGACCCCCCTTTTACTAACTGCCTGCTATCACGGACAATCTTCTCGATTGATAAGACTACCCCATGAAAATCTTCCCTTGATTTCAGTCAGCAAGACCAAAAAATGAAATGTCAAAAGGAAAATCAACTTCTTGCCAGTAAACAAATATGATTCTAAATTCCACAAGTTAACAAACAAACTACATCCTGGTTGTGAACAATTTACAATAATGATTGATCACAAGTGCGCACCATAACCGTCGAATCACAGAAAAAATTACAGCTAAGTCCCATCATGATTGGTTATAATGCTGATGGGAAATGAAATACTCAAATTTAAAAGAAGAAGAAGAAGATAAAAAACTTAAAGAAATGAGCATAGTGATCTTCTATTATCAACTGAATTCAAAGGCCACAAACTTGCAACTTCAATAAAGACAAACATATACGAATGATATCTTTAAAGTTCTTCTTTGGTCTTATTATATAATTTTTTATGGGCACAGAAATTGGAAACAGTGTTCCGGAATAAAAGAGGAAAGAATTACAAGGTCTTGTTCATAGACAGTAAGATGGTTTGCAGAGACTCCATTTGCTTCGCCAACACAGCACCTTCAATGCCCTCAACACATTTCAAACCACCATAGTTTCTAGATTTATGAATCACCTAAAACTTTGAAAATAATTAAAACTCTGGCAAAATAAGAAAAGATGCAACTAATGTATCATACATACATGTGTGGTAGAGAGGACCTGTAATCTTTGGACAATGGAAGAGGCGTTTGAGAATTGTGAAAGTAATCTAGCCTGAAGCTCTTCCCAGCTACCCATTTCATCTTTGACCTTTCTGTACTTCTGCTGGTACTTTTTTACCACAGCCTCCATATCTGTAATATATCTTCGAAAACCGAATGATCTCTAACTCAATGAACTCAGCTCAAGGTAGAGCTGCACTATATTTTTACTCAAATGGCTAAGCTTAAAATGTTTTCTCAAAAGTATATAATAAATCAGTTTCACTATAAATAAATATTTATTAATTAGAATTGGAAATAAAGTTATTCAAAAATCAGTAATATTTTAATTTAGAAATAAAGAAAGTAATTTATTTAAACATATTTAAAACAAAAATTACGTAAAACTGTAAAAGTAACTTTTCTTTTCTTTTAAACTAAGACAAACGTGCTCTTTTATCCTATCATGCAACCATTAGTACCTTGTAATAGATTCAGTGTTGTACTTGCTTTTGTGATCTAAAAAGTTATAGTTAATTACACCGCTTGCCAACTTGCCTATGGTTTAATTGTAAAAACAGGCATGGATGGAATGATCATATTGTCAGCAAAGATAAAATTCAGTGATCTACTTGAAATAACCATACAGCTAAGTTATCAGCTTGAACAAAATAAAGTTTAATGATCAACATAAAATTTCATTCAAAGTAGCATGGCTATAACTACTTTTAACCCAATAAAGTCTATTGGACCAGATCATAGATGAATTCCTTGTTCCATCAATTTAGGGGCAGGCAGAAACTGTCAGTACAATTCTTGGAGCCTGTCTTAACTTGGATGAGAACCAAGAGTTCGAAGTGCAATACAAAACCATCCAGTTCTGTTGGAATTAGATTTTGCTGAATATTACTACAAGTTCACATTTTGGTGAAATTAACAGGACCTAGCAAAACTGAATTCTGGAATTAACGGGAATAGACAAAACTGTTGAAAGTTTGTTATGTTTGCACAGAAACTAATGCGTACATATGATATTGAATTCTGGAAATGAACAAGTCTGTGCATGGATTGAATAATTCACGACCTTTAAATAACTATTTTATACATTGTTTAAAACATTAATCCTGAATTCATTTACCAAATCACAATCTAATAGTTAAAAAATGGAAACATAAATAATGGAGAGACAAAAAAAACCATCCGTACGAACAACATGCAACTCTTGTCCCAATTTATAAATTCCAAGCTGCAATTAAAAATTTTCAAAAAATACAGAAATTGCACAAGAAATTGTGATAATGGATTTGAAACTGTGTATCTTACCTGAATGTAAATAATAGCACAGCTGCACAGAGACGGAGCCAGAAATATTTTCCAGTGCGAGCGCAATTTAATCAAGTCCAGACTTTGAGTTTTTGGCCTGAATTTAATGACGGTAAAAATTTCTCAGTAGTAACAGTAGCAACTAGTAGAATTAACGTTAAAGTCAAAAGCTTGTAAACCAATGAATATAACTTACTTTTATTTGTCATAAATAACATCTCTGCAAGATCACTAAGGCCATTCAACCCTTAAAACCCTTCTCTTTTCTTTCCATATATTGAAGATACATACACTAATTAGAATTAAGCCAAAAGCATTTCTTTTCCCTGTTCATCGACTTCAATTCCTTTACCAATTTGAATAATTATTTGGTGGGTATACATGTATATATATCATAATAAATCCATTTGCCTTTGTTTGACTCACAACCCTTCATGCATTAAAATCTATATATACACATTTGTGGACATCAATATGCCCAGGCAATCTCGTACTCAATTCCAAATCGTTTCTGCAGTAATTCCTGATCACAAAATTAAGCTAACCCATTTCCTTCTTTCCTTAGTACTTAATTATTTCTTGACTCTAAATTTCTAATTGCAACCAATAGGCAATAGTCATAATAACATCGACTATACATGAACCAATCCAAAAAATAAATCATCTAGAATATGGGTCCTAATCCAATTCCACAAAATATGATAATGAAAATTGAAAAGCAGAGAGAGAAGATTCTTACTTGCCGCCTGCTGTTGGAGATTATTACCGCCTCATACCCAGCCACCCGTGCACTTGGAGTAGGCGAAGGAGGAGGAGAAGTGATCGGAGATGACTAAATTGGCGAGACTGACCGGAGCAGTTAGAGCAGGGGCTGATAGCCAGAGACGTCGAGGACTCGAGCGAGACTAGAGAGAGGGGAGGACGAAATGTCTGAATGTGGGGAATCGGACTGGGATAATAATGGCTTCAATTTTTTGTAGGGAAAATTTTACAAGCGAGAGTATTTTTTTTTATTAAAATGAAAAATATGATTATTATTTATCATATTAAGTTATTAAATTTAAATTTGTATCTTTATATGAAATTTATAACGATTATATTTTTCATTCTCGTTCTTCTAAAAATAAGAAACAAATAGGGGCTAAGTATGGTAGATTTTAAAATTAAAAAAACAAGTTTCACAATTCAAAAATTAGATTTTTATTAAAATTTATTTATGAATTAATTATTTAATTAATTTAATATATTTAAGTCACAATATTTGGTCACATTTATTTAATTAATTAGTCATAAATTAATTTTTAGTCAAAGCTTATCAAATTATTAGTTGTAACTTATTTCTCGGTCACAGATCAAAAATTTTATAGGTCACGAAATATTTTTTTATCACGAATCCAAAAATTTTATAGGTTACAAATTATTCATCGGTCACATATCAGATTAAGTTGGAAAAATTGTAGTCGAGGTACCAAACCTTTCGTTTATTAGCAAACTTTGCCCAAACCTTTCATTTATACCACCGTAAGTATCAAATCTTTAAAAAATGTGCAGCTCAAGTCTAAATTGACAATTTTCGTTAACTTGACCTCAAAAATCATCAGTTGACCCCAGGAATTAAAAATTTAATAATTTCTTCAAAATAAGATAAGGACATTCTAAACATAATACATTTTCCCTATTAAATCAAAAATTAAAAAATCATAAAGCAAAACCACAACCACCCACCTCATCTCCTTCTTCCCCAAACCCCTCAAAACGACTTTCCACCTGTCGAAGTCATCTCCGGCACCACCACCTCAAATTGTGCTTCGCCTCAACGGCTGCATCTTCACTCTCATAAGCCAAAGCCAACTCTACGTACACAATACATACATATCCTGCAATCTGAAAAACCCCAAAAACATATAGCAAAAGGGGTTCACCGAAAACCCCAAGAACACATAGTAAAAGAGGTTCACCAAAAACCCCAAGAACACAAGCATCTAAACATTGGCTAGACGTCTCAAAGTAGAAGAGAAACGATCGAACACAAGAAACCTGAAACAAACCAAAGCTTGAACCGGATGGAAAACCAAGCTGTCCCAAATCTGAAACTCACCAGAAACTACTAGCTGAACCAAAATAAGCTAAAGCAGAAAATCTATGTACCATCCAAATGAAAACCCATCAATTTATTCATACTCATTTTCATCTTCTTCTTCGTTGCCACTTTTGACCTCGGAAGTAATTCCTTCCATGGCTGCAACATCACAGGAGGGTCCTTTTATTGTGGCTACTGATATTGCAGAATTAGGCTTGCATACAACAATGAATGATATTGAAATGATGGAGATAAGATCAATTGGGGTTAGGGGATTGGGAGAGATTGAAGGAGGAGATGGGCTTTTTATTTTTTATTTTCCTTTTTAATAATTTTTTTATATTAAAATGATAAAGTTACAATTTTACCCTTGCCTTAATTAGTTAACTTATTAGATTTTTTAATTTTCGAGGTTAACTGACAGTTTTTAGGGTCAAACTAACGGAAACTGTCAATTTAGACTTGAGCTGCACATTTTTCAAAGGTTTGGTACTCATGGTGGCACAATTGAAAGATTTTGGCAAAGTCTACTAATAAACGAAATGTTTGGTATCTCAACTGCAATTTTCCCAATTAATTTTTAATCACAACTTATCAAATTATTGGTCGTAACTTATTTCTCAGTGACAGAATATTTTTCGATCACGAATCCAAACATTTTACAGGTCACAGATTATTCATTGATCACATATTTAAAATTTTTATTGGTCACAATTCATTTACTCATTGCAGATTATTGAATTAATTGGTCACAGTTAATTTTTTAATCACAACTTAATTAATTGTGAGTCACAATTTTCAGGTCACATATCCAATTGCGAGTCACAAACAAGGTCACTGGCATAGTTACAATTTTTAGCACCACTACATGTCCACCAGCATCTCATCATCATCGTGCACACAACCCACCACAACCAAAATTACAAATCCAATATCATCGGCCGACGGTCACAGTACCCACCATTGCAACACACCTCTGTTTTGCCAACACTACCATCACACAGATCTGCTCGCAAACATCAACACCACCGTCACACAGATCTGCTTCGCCAATGAACACACCATCGCTGATTTGCTTCACCACCATCACATATCTGCTTTACCATCGAAAACACATCCACTTCACACAGCACAAAACATCACTGGGTTGTGAGAGAAAATGTAAAAAAAGACGGCTTCTGACGACTGTGATTCTCAAGTGAGAAGAGAGAGTGGAGGAGACGACTGGAGAAGTATAGAGAGGGGGGATGGGTTCTAGTAGAATGTGTATAGATGGAGAGAGTTGGAATTAAATAGGGTTTGTGTAAATTGTAGTATATATCAGTAAAAATATTTATCTTAAAAAAAATTAATTGAAATAAAAAAATCTGATTTTTGGAAGATGAAGGTTCCTCCCTGATTTAAGAATTTAAGATTTTAATACTAGGGTTTTGTGTAATTACTATTTTTTTCTTTTTGGGTTTGAGGCAATTCAGAATATGGGCCGTAAACAATTAAAAAGCCCAATACTCAAAAACAAAAACAAAAAAAAAAAAAAATTGGGCTGAATTCAGTGCAGGCGCCCTGAATGAAAGACACAAACGATTTGGGGTTTTACTTTATTTTCAACTTTAAAAAAATCAATAAACTATATTAATTAAATTTAAATTTTTTAATTTTGTTGAATTTGATTGAGCTTATAGATTGAAGCCATTAAACGCGATTTATCAGTGAAATGCGCAAATGAGACCCTTAACACGATTTTAGAGCAAAATTAACCCAGCGGCTCCGCATTTTACCCTGTTTTCTGCTAATATACCGAATCGATGCTCTTGCAAATTTTTCAATTTTTTTCCTGAGACGACAAAATTCCCAGATAAAATGGAGAGTTCTAAGAATGGTAGAGAATCAAATGAAGAAATTTCTGAGAAAGATGAAAATATACTAAGTTTTTTGGACTCCATGGATACCTATCTAACTCTTATGGATTCCTTGTCTTCAACACTCCGCCAGGTAAAATTTCTCTTTTCTGTATTATTAATTTCCATCACTGAAAAATTGAATTTTTATTGACTGGATCTCCCATTTTGTTCTTGGAGGGTCTCATGTGTACCCTTTTTACTGGAGTGCATAAAACCAGCATCATTTTGATTGAAATTATTTCAAGTGCTTATTCTTTCTGTTATATCAGTGGGCATGTTCTGGTAAAAGAAAACAAGTAATCTGCAAACAATATTCAGATTTATTTACCTTGATTTTTGAATTTTTTTTCTGTGAGAAAAATATGAAATTTGTATGTATCAGTGTACGTCTGAAATTTTTTCTCTTCTAAATATATTTTTGAGTTTCAAGATTGCATTAATTTTTATGACTGTTTTCTCATCGTCGATGACGAGGTAAAGTTTCAAGACTCTTGAATATATAGAAAACAGAATTACCTTACCAATGATGTTAAAAGATACATCAACCCTATCAATACTATCATATTGGTGCAAGATTCCCGGTTTCATCTTCTTTTTGTCTCGACTTTGACCCACGATCCAAGTGTATTGTAGAAAACATCATCTAGTTGACAAAACAAACATAAAGTTAGATTGCAAGGCAGATAAGGGAATCAAATTCCCCAGGACCACGTAGAAATATGTGCTCATAACGTTTCTTGAGAAGTTCAAAGTTTTCCCTTTTCAAGTATTATAATAGAATGTAAGAGTTGAATCTCAACAGAACATAACCCAACCCAGACCAACAAAATCAAAAAAATTCAATAAGTAAATTGAGCAATTTCAACTGAACTTTTTATTAAGCTGATGAACAAATGAGAATAGAGGTGGGAGAAGAGGGAAATGGGAAGGATATTCGTGTAACTGAAATTCTGCAATACTGCAATGAACAAGACAGATTATCCTTTCTCCAAATCGTCGCTGATATACCCTCACCTCCTAACCCACTAGATGCCAAATTTTAGCAGCATATTAAAAGAAAGCGTGTTTGTTACAAGAATTAATCTACTTGTACCAAATGTCTTATCTAATTTTTGACCGAACTGACACGTGGCCTGTCCACTGCAATAAGGGCGCAACACTTGTCAATTCGATCATCCATTTGGTAAATGATTTGGTACATATAGCATCTCCCTTGTTACAATTCTTTCTAATTAAAAGAAAGGTAAAAGGCTATTTCATCAGCTTATCCTTAAGTTGCAACAGCAACGTTTCCATCAATCTATCTATTAGTATTTCTGTTAATCCTGCTTCTCTAACCCTTTCTTCCGAAATGAACCCTTCTGCAAGTTTTTCCATTCCTGACTTCTCCTTATGACATAGAATACTTGAGAACTTAGATTCAATAATTTTTTATGCATGAAACTTTCGAGTCTTTAATGTTCATTTATGTCCAACTCGCTCTTATCTTATTCTTGACATCGTGTTTTAGTCATCCTTTCTCATTATTGATTGAACCTTAGCACTTAAAACGATTACTTTTTGAAATGACTTCGTTATCACCATTATTCCTATTGTTACAAGGACATCTTCTATCATTTCATTTTTATTTCAAATAACATAAAATCTTCTGATTATACTATTATCCCGCTGTCAGTTTCATCAATTTTTTTTTGATAGGTAATCAAATAATTTTATTACTTAAAAGAGAATACACGGGGGGTGTACAATCACTTTAAGCTATTAAGGAAAAGCATGAAATTAGGCAACCCATCTACAGGATTTCTAGCCACTGCATTAAACGAAGAATACAAGGTAAAGTAAAATGCTTCTCTTATCTGCTCTCTTGTCTTTGTTTGGTCTTCGAAGCAACGGTTGTTCATTTCTCTCCACACGCACCAAACAATGCAGCTCGAGATAAGGTGCCATGCTAGTTTGCTATCCTTATCCCGAAGTTTTCTACGCCATGCCCGTATCACGTCCTCTATACGACGAGTCATCACCCAATCCATAGATTGTGAACTGATTATATTGTTCCAAATCCAACGTACACCGTCACAATGAATGAACAAATGATCAATCGTCTCCCCATCCTTCTTGCACATATAACACCACTCGGTTGCATAAAAGCCTTTACGACGAAGATTATCCACCGTTGAGACCTGTCCCCTCACAACTGTCCACAAAAGGAATGCCACCCGAGGAGGCAATTTACACTGCCAAACCAACTTCCATGGGAATGAATTATTCACACATCCCATGAGGGAACCAAAGTACGACCGAACCGAGAAAATGTCATCCTGTGCTGTCCTCCACTTGATGCAATCCCTCTCTCCAATCCGAATTTGGGCCTCATGTAAAATGATCATAAACAGCGAATAATCTTCCAATTCCCAATCCTGAAGATCCCTCCCAAAAGTTATATTCCAGCTATAACTCCCATTATGAATGTCTAAGAGATCACTCACCATGGCAGTGGACATTGAGGCAATACGATACAAAGAAGGGAATCTCTCCTTCAGCGGTTGATCTCCGCACCAACAATCATCCCAAAATTTAATCTCATTACCATTTCCAACCACAAACTTCAGTTTGTCCAAAAATGCACTCCATCCCCGTCGGATATACCTCCACAAGCTCCCCCCATAAGAACCACGATCCTCAAATGTACACCATCCCCCATCGGTCACACCATACTTCGCCCCAATTATTTCTCTCCAGAAACTGTCCCTCTCCACTCCAAATCGCCACAACCACTTGCCTAATAAGGCTTTATTGAACAACACAAGGCTCCTCACCCCAAGACCTCCCATCCTCATCGGCAAACAAACAACTCCCTCCTCTCCTCTTCCAACCCTGCCCACAGAAATTCTCTTTGAAGCCTCTCTAGTCTCTTTGCCACTGCAATCGGAATGGGGAACAATGACAAAAAGTAAGTAGGGAGATTGGAGAGAGTGGATTTAATGAGAGAGTCTACCACCCTTCGAAAGGTACATACGCTTCTACCCTGCTAACCTTCTCTCCATCCTTTCCACAATACCATTCCAGATATGGGTACTTTTAAATCGTGCCCCTAATGCGAGTCCTAGATATGACATCGGCAACTGCGCAACCTTACAACCTAATATATCAGCCAGCTCCTCGACATTATTAACCTCCCCAACTGGAATAGCCTCAGACTTTCCCAAATTAATTTTCAAACCAGACACCGCTTCAAAACATAAGAGCAGACGGTGCAAGTTCCTGAATTGTTCTACATCTGCATCACATAAAATCAACGTGTCATCTGCAAATAACAGATGAGACACTTGCAATTGATCGACCATAAAACCCCTTATCAAAGCCGCTCTCACTGCTCTTTCAATCATCCTACTGAGAGCCTCCATCACAATGACAAATAACAATGGGGATAATGGATCCCCTTGTCTCAAGCCTCTACTGCTTCGGAAATAACCCTCTGGTGTTTCGTTGACCAAAACTGAGAATGAAACAGTAGAAATACAGAATTGAATCCATTTACACCATTTATCCCTAAAGCCACAGCGCCTGAGCATATATAACAAGAAACACCAATTCACATGGTCGTAAGCCTTCTGATATCTAGCTTACAAAGCATCCCTGGGGCCCTTAGGCGCATTCTTGAATCTATGCATTCATTCGCTATAAGCACAGAGTCCAAAATCTGACGCCTTTTTACAAATGCATTCTGAAACTTGGACACTACTTTTCCCAGTACCTCCTTTAATTTGTTTGCCAGGACTTTCGAAATAATCTTATACACCCCGCTGACAAGGCTAATGGGGCGAAAGTCCTTAATATCAGTCGCTCCCGGTTTCTTAGGGATGAGCACAATAAATGTGGCATTAGAACTTCTCTGGAATCTGCTACGTTCAAAAAAATAAGATAAAGTATTCAAAATGTCCAGTCGAACCACATCCCAACACGCTTTGTAGAATGAGAACGAGAAACCGTCCGGTCCCGGGGCCTTATCATCGTTCATGCTGAAAACGACCTCCTTAATTTCATCCTTCCCAAATGATCTCTCCATCCATCGGGCATCATCCTCATTGATTGTAGAAAAGTGCAATCCCTCCAATTCTTGCCTCCATTCAAATTGCTCCTGATAGAGGTTCTGATAAAAATTAACCAGTTGGCTTCCAATTTCCTATGGTTCCTCATAAGTAACCCCGTCTACCTCCAAAGCTGTGATGGAGTTGTTCCTCCTATTAGAATTGGCGCCCCTGTGGAAGAATTTAGTGCATTTATCCCCCTCTTTCAACCAAGTAACTCTAGATTTCTGTCGTCAATTAATCTCCTCCATCTCCACCAACCTCTCCATCTCTTCCTTTAATCCTCTATGTCTCTCCTTCTCCTTCCCAGTCAACCCCTGACTCTCCTTCCGCCTATCCAATTCCTCTATTTCTAACAGACACTGATTTTTACTGCAGTTAACATTGCCTACAACTTCCTCATTCCATTTCTTTAAGTCCCCTTTCAACGCCTTTAGCTTCTGATCCAATACAAAACAGGGAGACCCACTGACTTCATAGGAAGTCCACCACGTCTGTACTCGCTCCCTAAAACCTTCTACTTTCAACCACATCTTCTCAAACCTGAAAGGTCTTCTTCCACCACCCCTTCTATTCCCCGATAACATAATAGGAAAATGATCCGAGTATACCCTCCCCAATCTTCTCTGAGTGACATCTGAATATTTAGACTCCCACTCCCCACAAATCAAGAACCTATCAATACAAGTCAGAACGGGTTGATCCCGATTGGATGACCAGGTAAAATCTCCCCCAATCATAGGTAAATCCACCAACAAATTCTCCCTAATAAAATCTGAGAACTCCTCCATTGCCCTAGTTAGTCTCCCACCACTCGACCTCTCCGAAGGAAATCGAATCACATTGAAATCACCCCCAATACATGTAGGGAGATTCCACCAAGCCCTCATTCCAGCCAGTTCATCCCACAAACCCACTCTACTGTCATCAGAATTAGGCCCATAAACTCCTGTGAACATCCACCGAAATCCATCCTCACAATTTTTGAAAGAAATCGATATAGAGAACACCCCTATACTCACCTCCTTCATCTCAAGCACTCTCGTGTCCCACATCACCAACACGCCTCCTGAAATCCCTGATGACCCCAAAAACTGATATCCAACATGATCTCCCCCCCCATAAACTACGAATCACTGCCCTCGAGATAAACTCCATCTTAGTTTCTTGTAGGCAAACAAGATTTGCATCCCATCCCCTTAGCAAATGACGAACACCAAGCCTTTTACTAACCTCATTGAGACCTCTTACGTTCCAGCAAATGAGTTTTGGCATCATTGTAACACTCCATAACCCCTCCCCATTGTTCCTTTCTTGGACTCGCCATCCTTACCAGCATAGTTTACTGACCATTCGAGCCTCTTAAGCTCACGATCACCCTTTTTTTCTTAATTTACTTCCATGTGTACTGATGTCTTGTCCCCTATTAGCCTCCAGCTCCTCGAATAATTGTAGCAATCTACTTTCATACCCATCACATGACATGCCAACCAACTTACTGAATTTTATGTAGCACCCAGTTTAAAGGTGGGTGACCAACTTCTAACACATCAGCTCCTGAGGTATCCTCACCCTGATAGCCCTCGAGATGATCAAAGGACCGTTCTTTCTCTTCCACCACTGGTATAATGTCACTGTCACTTTCTCCTTTCTTGGCACCACCTACCCATAACACCAAAGCTTTTTCGGTCCCCATATCGTTATCTTTTGTCCTCCTATTATAAGTGTTCGTAATCCTTGATGTCGTCTGTGTATCGTTGTTTTCTTTCACTGTTTCCATTGACAATTTCTCCAAGTTCACAATACTGAACTCCCCTTCCTTAGACAGCGGTTCCTCTTCTTGTTCAACTGCAATCCCTTGTGTCTACTTCAATTCGGTTGACCCCCACAAAGTCAACCCCGTCATCGTTTTCATGGTATCCCGCTTCCATCCTCACCTGAGAATCACAATGTTCATCTCCTCCCTGCTTTGCATGTTCTGTAATTGGTGGTAGTTCCTCATGAGTCAATCCCGGTACGTGTATTTCACCGGTTTGATCCTTATCCAACTCAACCCCACACTTGTGACAACGTACCAATTTCATGGGCTCCATTTCGGGCCCGCTTCCAACCAGTCTAAGTAATTCATCTAATGCTCCTTTCAACTCCAGCGCACGGGTCATTATTTCAACCCTACTCAAACAAATGTCGTGACCTTCGTTATCTCCGACTTTATTTCTCCTTTCCTTTTGCTGAAGCATCCGTTGGTTGGCATTCTCCGAGGTCTGTGAGTTTGCTGTAATTTCTGCATAAGTCATCCTTTGTCTGTTTCGTTCAATCACCGTTTGTCGTTTGGCCTTATCCCTAGCAACAAATGAGTCAACAACTGCTTAAAACACCTGCAAGACCGACGCCCATCCCTCTCCATTTGCACCTTCTGTTATCATGACAACTCCTTTCCGACGCCTTTCTCCATATTGTGCTATCATTAAATATCTACCTCGATGGTTCACACACCGTTGTGCCAAGAAAGCTCTTGAAGACTCATTGAACTTAAAAACACATTCCTCAACTTCACTTCTCTTCCTCAATCTGTCTATCATATTCACCATCCAAATAGCACCATACCTTCCCATAAAGATTGAATCCGATAACTTCGAACCCCATTCTATCAACTGAATAGTGCCAGAATCGTTAATAGATACTGCGAAGTCCTTCGCCTCCACTCTGAAACGATGATTGAATACCAAACTACGCACATCCGCCAACTTTTTCCCCTGATTGTGTATTAGCAATTCATCAATTGGAAACGGCTGGGCGGCGCTAGGGTTTCCACAGTAAACGGCGCCTATGTGTGAACTGGGTGGTTGGAGTGGCTGATTTGTGGCGTGAGGCCGGTTGTGTGGTGCCTACCGGACCGTTGGTCGCCGGCGCCGATAGTGTGGGGGTGTGGTGGCTGGGTTATTTTGGATTGTGAGGGGAGCTCCATTTCTTGTTGTTTCAGAGGCAGAGGAAATCAATCAGCAAAATGCAAGAGTTGATTGAGTTGTTGCGAGTTTTCAGGTCAGAAGATTGTTAACAAATGCTGTCACCGCCTACTCTAAGAATGATTAGTTGAAATGTGTAACGCTGTGAGTTTCATCAATTAAAACTCTTTTAATTGCAAGTTTGACAAATTTTAGAGAAAAATTGTTTGATGTCTATCTGTTATGCAGGGATGGTTGGAGTTAGCTAGTGCACGGCATTCAATGGGTGCTTCACGTATCAACAGTACCTTGTTAGACCTCAAATTTCACCGTGCTTCAACAACGTTGCAAGTTAATGAGCAATCTGGTATTTTTACTGCTTATTCTTTTTGGCACAATTGATTTGCTTCCAGGAAATATTCTTAAAATCCTAAATTTCTACTTTATCCTAATTTAGAAGAGACTAACTAAATGCACGGATAAGGGAACCGGGGGGGGGGGGGGGGGGGGGGGTGTGTTGGGATATAGCTTTGTAAATTACACTCAAGGATATGCATTTTTTTTCCATTCAAGAATACTTAAAGTTCTGCACTCTCCCTACTTTTTACCCATGTTGAAACGAATAGAAAATGTAGCTTCCTTAAATTTTCCCCTGTGCTTATAATTAATTTTGAATTCTATCTTTTTAGCTGGGCCTGATAGAGAGTTACCACATTTCACTTTACGCAAATGGGCATCCTCCAATAATCCTGAAAAGAACTTTGAAGAAGCCAAGTTTGGGGAGGATGAGTTGTTAAAGATCAAGTCTAATAGTCTTCGACGTAGGGATACATCTCAGAGTTCTGGTAATGTTTGCTTCCTAACTTTTAGAATGACTGCGTAGGGAAATTTCTACTGGTCCTTCAATAATATAAAAGTGAGAGTGCTGGTCTCAATGGCTTACGGAAAATGACAGTAGATCAAGGATTTTACCTTGAACCTTGATTCAATCTCAATGAGTGCTAATCTTGTTACGAATTGTGAGACCCTTTTAGTTCGACGCTTTTCTATACTCACAAAAATGAAATGAGAGTGCTGAAACCTGTTGCCAATTGTGAACTGATCAGGTACCCATGTTCTAAATCCTTTCAAATCATTTTTGTCCAAGCCTAAAAGAAAAAAGTAAATGTTACTGTTGAGTAACTATTTGTTTCCGAACATGCTTCAATATATTACTTTTTCCTTATACGTAAGTGGAAAAATTAAGTTAGTTATTTAATGATTAAGTGAACTTTATAAACTTAGTCAGATGTGCTCTCGTCCCTGATGGAAAGATTTCTGCCTTTGTTTTGGCCTTCTGACCGTACTAAAACTGTATTAGAAACTATTTTCTACCACCAGATGCCAAAAAAGTGTTTGTGTGACCAGAACAGGACTTCATAATTTGTGCCTCGCTTTCCTCATCTGATTTCCTCCTTTGGCAATGCCAGTTAATCTAACATTTTTGTTTTTTCTCCTGTAAAGAAATTCAGGCAAGAAGTCCAGAAAGTGTTGGAACTCCTGTTTCTGTTGATGATCTAGTAAGTAAATATCCAAGATAAATATTCTGCTAGTACATCTCATGTTTTTATAAATAACTCAACTTGAATTTCATATTTTTAAACGATTCGACTTTTTTGCATTAATCTAGACTTCAAATATTGCATCAGGTTGCAGCACATTAAACCCAAAAGGATCTAACAATCTAACATTTCTGTCCATGTTATGTTCTTTTCAATTATTTTGTCTTCTTTTGGTTGATGTAAACTATTTTGTAGCCAAGTTCAACCCCTACAAGACAACGTATAATAAATTTAAGCTCCTATTTGAGCCCCATTTATTGAGAAAAGATTTTGTAATAAAGGAAATTTTTTCGAGAACTTGTTAAAAAGTAGGGAAACTTTTTGGGTTTACATGGGAAAATTGAATTTTAAAGAATGGGACTCAAACAGGGGTTTAATATATGACTTGCATTCCTCTAAATTCATAGGCTAGGTTTGATATTACAGCGGGATTGTGTCTGCAAAAAGTTTATTATCTTATCACACATTTGCAGGCTCAAAGAGAACGTTCTAAATCGTTGTCCATGTTTGGAACTTTGGTATCTCCTAAGCTTCGAGCTTCCCAAGTCTCATTTGAGACAGGTACTGTAGCAACTTTGTTCATCTAAACAATTATTTATTGCACAGCTCCACTGGTCGTATCAAAAGTGTTGTCATTTTTATTTATTTATTTTTTTGTTACTGCTTGCTTACTTAGCTGTTGTATGTGGATATCAATTCTAAAAAAATTAAACCCCCACCCCCCCCCCCCCCCCCCCCCCCAAATGCCACGTTCACATGGAAGCTGTTTTAAGATAATGACTGCATCCAGCATCATCTTCCATTATTTTATGCAATTTTCTTAATACATTCTATAATCTACTGCCAAGATGTGAACCTGTATTGACACATGCAGTGCTGCTTCAGGCAAGACACACGTCCTTACCCCCAATGAAGCAAATTTCCCCCTTTCATGTACCCGTATGTTCTTTTATGAAAAATATTAATTCTGTTGTACGGCTTTTTGGGATGATTTTATCCTTTGCAGCGCTCGAAATGCTGGTAGAGATATCAAATATGAGAGCTTCACTGCTCAGTGCCTATGATCAAGTGAAGAAAGACATGGAGACCGCCACCAAATAATCAATGGACGGGTTTCTAAGTCTACATCCCCAATTATTACATTATGGATCACGTTTCTCCTTTTCAAGTAGTTCGAACAAATTGATTGCTGCCATATAACTGAATGGGAGGGGGACAGAGTTCTAATTTTCTGTTATCATCGAATCTGTTATCTGTTTTCTGATAGTTGTGTAACAAGTCATTAACCTTAGGACAGTGGAAAAGAAAATATTTTCATAGTTCAATTCTGGTGCATTTTTGCAGTCCTTTAATTAAACTAGCACAAGGCTGCCAAGTACAGAAAGAAAGAGAGAGAGTAAACCCTATTTTATGATTCTTAATTTATCTTGTGGTTCTTTTTCTACCTATTTTCTTGTTCTACCATCTTTTTAAGTCCTTGAGCATCCTCATGCCTAGCAATTTTGACCTCTTTCTCGATTCCTCAAATTTCTTCTTCAGCAACATGCTTGGGAACAAGGTTTGTCACATAACTTCGAAACTTATCGTCATCAGATGATGATGAAAACGAACAATTCCCCGAAGCTTTAACTTTAAGCCATTGCATCTATTTTTATCCACTGGTTTTCACCTGAATGGACTGATGATTTCTTATGATGCTTTAGTTTTGCAAATTCTTCTCAGTTGTACAAATTATCCTCTCAGGAAAGACAGTCTTGGAAGGTCCAAAAAAGTAGCATTTGCACTCTCTTTACAAGTCAAACTGGACATGGGTTCTCTCTTGATCGAATGTTTCTTTTTGTCCTTGTCGATTTAGTGTCAAATACTCCATGAAACAAATATCAAACATACGAAAAAAGTACAGCTATTTTTGGAGTATTAAAAGAAATAGTGTATTATTAAAACTATGCGAGGAAAACTCAACGGAATTAAATCAGAGTGAAGTGAAAGAGTATAATTACTCTCCTTGATGTTGTTTACCGAAAATCTTTGAGTCGATATACATGTACTAATTTCTTGAATGCAGATGTCACAATGATTTTGTGAATAAGTCAACTACTATATCACTGGAGCGAATTTGTTGATAATCGAAGGTATTAATCTTCTGAAATTCATGTGCATTGAAGAAATTTGAATAGCTCGGTAGAAAGTTGGCTAAATGGGATAGTACTATACACAGTACAAAAAATAGAGGTCTTTATCAATTGCATTTTTTGATCTGGTACAAATTTGTGTACCATACATTTATTTATTGGCTTATAATAGGTGGATTTCCTAATGCATCTTTATCCAAATCTAAGTGGTTTCATTTTAATTCTATGGTAGAAAGGTTAATTGAAACAATCGATGCTATATTAACATCAAAGTTGACATAAAATTTGACAATCTCAAGTGACATTTTATCATTGGACGGTTGTAAACATAATCAATTTTTTCATCCAATTATTAATTATTACATGCAATTATGTCAAACTTTTTGTCAAATCACTCTGGCAACTAAGCTTTATCCTAATTGAGATGGGGTAACCGAAGTTTTGAATAATTACGTTAATGATCATTAAAGTTATTATTTTATGATAATAGTCATTGAAGTTTTAACTGTTGCCCTAATTATTACTTAGTCAAAAAAATTAACCTTAAATCCTAGTGACACCATTAAGTGTCAATGTGTCATCAAATGGCATTCATTGTTATGCCAAAGTCATAAAAAATTGTTGTTAATGAAATCGTGAGTTTACCATAAAATTTAAGCACAAAAATTTGACAAAAACTAATATTGCATTACATTTTCTCATCTGAACATTTTAATCTCCAATTTCTAACTCTTCGATTTTACCGACATGATGTAAAATATAAGCATTAAGCTGCTTATACAGCTCGGGCTGTACAGCAGCTTTCACAGCCCCCTCACAATGAGGGGGCCCCACCTCTATATTTTTTTTTAATGTGTGCGGCCCCCCCGATGTGAGGGGGCTGTAAAAAAAAGGTGTGAAAGTAGCTATAGCACGGTCCAAAATATAATTATATTTAGACACATTGATACTAAACGGTACCACATAAGATTTAGTGCCTGTCTGCGATGGATTTTCTATCCTATTTTTAGTGTCTTTGTAGCTATTATACAGTGCCGTTGTCAGTAGTCAAAGCTGTAATTTGTGAATGAATTAGGTAGAACGACAAATGCATCCTTTTACTCTCATTTCATTCTTCAATACAAAAGGGCATTTCATAAAATGATTCCTGTGAAATCAATAGTTGCTACAAATTCAAAAACTCATCTGACGTACCAACGGTCAGAAGTTGGATTAAAATTGAAGCAAAATCGTTACCAAACAAAGGATTAATATTTTCCATTTTACCGAGTGACCATAAGTATAAAAGTTAAAAAATAAAGTGATTATTAATCGAAAAAATAAATAAATAAATAAATATCATCGACATAATTCAGTAGTAGAACTAAAATTCTCTTACAACCATGTTCACACGACAGGAGTGTCAAATGCTTATTAATACTGCACAGAAATAGTTTATCTTACACCAACACAACTTCCAGACTTGATTATAACCAGACTGCCAGACTGTGCAACAAGTATAAAATATTTTGTTGTCAACTCTACGATATAGAGGAGAAGCTTGACAGAAAAACAACTTAATTATTATATTATATATAATGGTATATAATCCAAAACAAATACAAACCAGATATAATAAATATTTGGTGGAAGCTAAAAGAATGTGACCTTGAGCTAAGGTCATTAACTTACAAGTACTAGAAATACATGATCCTAAATAAATTGCATAGGTGCTGATTTAGTACCTGAGAATAACCTTATCTAGGTAAAAGTATAGTTTTCTCCATAGCCAAATTCTACTCTTCATTTCCTCAAGCTAGGCAACTTCACCCTAGCAAGTCGTGGGATTTCTTGTTTGTTAAGTTAAAGGGGACGTGTGTGTCGGCCACTTGCCCGGCCACAGAGAAGTGCATTCTTTGGGATGGGATACTCATCCCTCAATGAAGTTGAGTCTGTATACACCCTCAAATAGAACTGTTGTCCGAGGTATTGTCGAGCCCAAAACTCCGATCTTAGGTTCCACATTCCCACATTGTCAAGCGCGACATAGATGGCAGTCCACGACTTGGGATACACCTGCAAGTATCAACCATAGGAAACTTTTCAGGTTTAGTTTTTATGATCAGGCAATTTCTTTTCTGTGAATGTTTGGTACAAAATATTCGATAATAAAATATACATGATTTAAGCTTCTTTTTGTTCTTTAACTTTGTATAGTATGATATGGTCCCCTTTATCAAACAAGCCATGACAGTATATAGCTAAAAAATTACGAGATTCAAGCAATTTTCATCTCACCTGAGTAGTGCAACGAGACACTGCATCACGAAGATTGTACTGGTTCCTACTAGCAGTAGTCCATTGCCCTCCATCCATTCTGGATTTGAGATAAAGCAATTAATAAGTATATGTTTAGAAGAAATGAAAGTAACTACTCAAACTATGTAAAAAATGAATGCATACAGGTGTATTTTCTGGTGCTTACCCGACTACAAAGAAGGAGTAGCCATTGAGGTGATAGCTCTGAATAATGTCCTCGTTGTTTTCGAAGACAATTTCAACGAATGCTCTATAATCAACTCCGAGTACGGACGTGTCAAGGTATATTCCTCCACCAGTGGGAGCATCAGAAATACTCCCAACACGAAAAACACCACTAATTTTGAAGTAGTCAGCAATCTTCAGGGGAGTGTCAGCCGGCACGAAGGATACACTGTTGATCGCATATTTCTGTTTACCATTGACTTGACCAGCAGAACTCGAAAGCCTAATAGTTTTTGTAGTGTTTATCATGCCATAGTGGTATGAACCTTGTGGATTTGGTCTCGGTCCACTTGCGGTAAGATTAGTCCTAATATACAAAGAATTAAATATAAGAATCACTTACTAGTCGAAAAAGGGATTATAATACTGAAGCCAGTGTAATGGATATTACCTGATCGAACGAGCCTGGTTTAGCGACCAATCAACTTGAATTGTTGGTCCACCAGGTGGTGAGCCGGAGACCTGAGTATTTGAATTTGCATAATGAAAAACCCCAGTCGTGGTGAGTACGGTACTGGTGAAACGGGAGGACACAACAATATAATAGTCCTTAGGGGCTTGATCTGCCGTTATAAGCACAGAGTAAGATTGACCAATGTGAACATCAAGGGACGAGTAGGTAGTTTGAAGAGTATGCGTTCCTTCAACTTCAACCAATGTCATCTTGTGTCCTTCAATGCGGAAGTTGAGTGAATTTTGTAATCCAACATTCGATATCCTAAGCCGGTAAGTTTTTCCTGTTATATATAGCATTAACTTTGATCAGATATAACAAGTTTGATGAAATTGGAGCGGATTGATCGACTTTTAGCTAAAGTAAGTTGCTTATCAAAATACACGTTTTTATCGATGACAAACCTTGTTCGACGGTGAAAGAGACGCCATTGGAACCACGTCCGTTAATGAGAATTCCAGCAGGGAAAGGCAGCTTTCTGCCCCGGTCGAGAATTGCCTTCAAGTCCTATATATATGACGATCAAAGCTCATATTAGCTAATATCAGTTTCCAAAGGCATAAATTTACTACGAACTGTGGGAGCGACCGCGAGGATGACCGACACACAAACGGGGTGGGGATTTTTTAATTCACACGGGGCCCACTCATCTCATGTGAGGGCACGGTCATCTCTGTGGTCATCGGTGCGGGTCAAGTGGCTTAACTCTAAGCATAATCAAACATGCCAACTTTTCCATGTTAAAAATTGAAACATTTTTAATTAAATTTTTGCTTTCCCTGTGCATGTCAGTATATTGCTATAGAGGTAAGCTCAAAAACAAGGTAGACACGTGTCGAAACATGATTGAACAATTTGAAAAATAAAAAAAAAATAAAAGAAAAAAGGTAGCCAACCAATTTCTGTCAAATCAATCTGTCCTCTGACTCCCTATTACTTTGACTAGACTAGACAAGACAGCTTGAATCGGTCAGGAGTAATTTAGTGTTTGTTTGGCCCTCATTTTCTGAAAATGAAAATAGGTGGAATAATGTTTTTTTGAAAAATGAATGGTTGAAAAAGAAAAAAAAGTTTTCGATTTAAGTGTAATATTATTTTATGAAAGATTGTATGGTTGAAAATAGAAAAGAGAAAAATGAAATGTAATGTAATGAAATTTAATAGGGGTCAAACAAGGTTTAGTGGATTCACAAAGCCTCAACTTTTTATGGGCCCCTAAAGAAGTTGGATCACAAGACATCCAGCTGTGAATGGCCCACTTTCATAACAATGGTCAAAGGTCTAAGTTATCGACGCTGAGAATTAAAGTCCAAGGCCCAAATTAATGGGCAGCAGCCTCTACTTTACGATCTCGTAAAGCTATTTATTTGGAGTAGTAATCTCAGTTTAGGTAATGTTGGTGTGACATTAAATGATAAGTGAAATTGAATGGCCCATTGAATTTTACCTTTCATTTTACCTATCATCTAACGAGGTCGGAATTGCAATCCCAATTGGGCCAAATAGCATGATTTCCACTTTACTGGCAAAACAAATAACCCTCTGACGTGGCACCGCATTAATCAAAATTTATATTGTGAGAATTAAAGTTCATGCTAAGCCTAAAAAAAGTGCTCACAAATTATTTCAAACTTGTTTGGATAATTAAATAAAAAACAATAAAAATAAAAATAAAAAATCTTATAAGTGAATTTCTAAAGATTTACCAAACATGATCAACAAATTCAATTTTGGGCTAATCGGAGATGGTGGCAGCAAGCAGGAGGCGAAGAATGGGGAAAAGACTATTACCGTGTGATTTTTCTTGTACCAATCTCCGATCAAGATAGTGTAATCCCCGGCAGGATCTGAGAAGGGAACCGGAATTCTGGGTCTGCTGAGGATTCTGATGCCTCCAAAACCACCAGCGGCCTTGTGGAATGCGAGCGATGGGAAATAGTAAAAGCTTCCGATTTGATCCTTCACCTGTAGAATGTATGTGAAATTTTTCCCTGGAGGAATTGGACATGTTGTTCCATATACTCCATCTTCAAATGAATTCCTCCTGTTCTGGATTCCATTCCTGCATTTTTCACATCCAAAAAAACATGGGAATTATCAGCTCTAATCACCTCCATAATCATATTTTTGTTTAATCGATGAGATTCAATGAGGAATCTATTCTCACTTTCCAGTGACTGAAGATGACAGTACACCTTTTTGTTTGGAACTGGTTTGGAATTTGGATAACTTACATTTTAACTTTAAAGTAAAAAAAAATAAAAATAAAAAGGTTACCAATTATTTTAATATAAACTAAAATATAAAGTAGTTAGCCAGATGTGCATGCCAGCTTTATGGCGCCGAACCGCCCAAAGTTACTTGGAGCAACGGCCCCACAGACTAAATTCAGCATTTGTATTTCACATGCATTCGACGCTAAATCGTGTCTTCATTAAATTTATTTTGATAAATAATTTTATTAACTAAAGAGGAAAAATACAAAGTCTTTTATTTCTAAAACACATTCTTTATAAATAATATATATAAAACCTCATAAATGTAGACGGACATTTTGATAACAAATTTTAAGAAAATTCCTTATCATCACAACTTACTCTCTCCGGTCCACAAAAATAAGTTTATTTTCATTTTCACAAAAACTTAAAAAATATAATTAATATATTTAAAAACAAATAATTTTACTTATATTTTCTTAATATATCTTATATATTAAATAATAATTTAAATAAAAATAATTCATATTCGTTGATAATAAGAAACATTAAATAAAAATATATTAAAAATCTAAGAAATCCTCGGCCCCGGATGTAAAAGGGGCGGGCCCCGCATGTGTGAAGATCTAAGGTCGAGGTGCTGCCAGCTCGACCTTGGAACGAAACTCGGGATTTGAAGCATCACTCTAAAAATTATTTGATATAAAATTGTAATGATTAGTTGAGAAGATTTACTGAAATTGATGTGTATATAATTAATTATAGGTGGGAACCCGGGCACATCACAATCTAGAAAAGATATGCTAATTGACAGCCTTTGATGTGACAAACCCATGTGGTATTGGTAGGCAGGCAGGCTGGCTTTCCACTGTGTAACTAAAGTTCAAAAATACGAGTCAAGTATAAAAAATAATTTCTATATCTCTTTTATACGTCGTTTTTAATTCAACTCAACCTATTCAAAACTCCATTTTTGTTAATTAAACTGAAACTCATTTTAGCGTTGGAATAGATGAATACATACAGATATCCTCCTCATTTATTGCATCTAATAATATTATTGCCCACCAATAAAGTTATAAGTATGGAAAAAATTTAACAGTATTTGTCTCGACTCTGACGTGACGCTGGACTTCCCAACCCAAAAATGGCATACATTATAATGGCCAATAATAAATACAAGGATAAGACTACATTTATACTTCCGATATACATAATAAATGATACCCCTTCACATTGAGAGGGGCTCACGCATAATAAATTATGTGCGAGACCCTCTACATGAGGGGTGTCAACAATTATGTGTACTGAAAGTGTACCTGTAGTACTATTTGTATTTAGAATGCACCGCTGCAATGCATTATGGCAGTCCAAAATTGGAAATTCTGGATTAGATCATTTAATTATATATCTAACTGGAAAATTTATGTAGTCAATTCTATATTTATTAGTCTGTATTAAAATTAACTTAGTAGAGATGTCTGATCAAACTATAAATATCTATATTCGTTAGATATTTCCAAGAAATAGCCTGAACTATACAAGGGTATGGATGACTAACAAGTCATTTTCACAAAGAATTGAAATCATTATCTGCTTTATTTAACCTAGCGAGAAGCTCTATGAAAAATTACCAACACAACCTCAACTCACAATGGAAAAACTAGCAACGGTATGAGAACAATCAAGGACCACATTGTCCATTTACTCAAAATTTATTGAAATTAAATAGTGAGATCTGGAAAAAATATGAACTGTCGTTACCAGGAAATGAGAAATGGCTCATCCAAGCTATTGAAGACGTTGATAATGAGATTATCATTTGTAACAGAGTGAATATCAGGTCCAGGAAATTGCCCATTGATCAAAATGCCCTAAACAAACAGATCATAATCATTGGATTTGCCCGGCTAAACAACTTCAAAACAAACAAACAAACAAACCTGTTGGCGAACTCCAAGAGGATAAATGTCACCATAAGAAACATTCCATGTGAAGAATTTGTAAGGATCTTCAGCTCCAGCAATTGCTAAAACCACAAACAGAACCACTAATTTTAGCGCCATTTTCACTGAAGAACTAGTCTCCATCCGGTTGGTTGTGTGAACGAGGGTTTCTGAGGATTTAAAAAGGCTATAGTGAATGATGAGGCATGGATGGCATAATGCATATATAAGTGCGGTACAGAGTGGTCGCCTGTATGCAAAATAAGTCAAGAGAGAGACTCGAACAGCCGTAAAGGAAAGACACGGAAACGATTATGGAGTAATAAAAATTTAATAAAAAATAAAACTCTCATGGAATATAATTATTGAATTTGTACTTAAATATTTCACTAATTTTAAATTTTCTCGAACGAGCAATAAGGAGAAATCCGAGGGAAAATTAAATGAAATCAATGGGAGTGTCGGTGCAGGACCAATAGTTACCACCCACGCCACATGCCCCTCTGTTTGTTTCCTACTGTGGTGGGTAACTTCTTGGCTGGTGGTTTTGTGAAAATTGTTATGTCAGTTCCTCAACTATTTCCTGAATATCAAGGAGAACCTTAAATTATAAAAATAGGCACTTTGGTTATCTATGTTTCATTTTAGTTAGAACGATCAATCTTCGATAGTCGACCCTATTTGAATTGCTGTTAAATAGTGTCACGGATGGGATTAATGTTTTGTTCAAAATCCTAAGCATTGGCCCTACTCAAGTGAAGAAACTTCTAGTTTCACAAAGCTAGACGTAAATGTAAGGGTCATTTCATTTTTAATAAAAAGTCAACAGAGTTCAACATGAAAGACGAATTTTGTGCAAATGTAACTACAAGTCAAAGGGTGATTTGCTTCTTTTGAAATTCAATACAATAGGTTGACAACTAGTAGTACAATTTTTTAAACTAGATTGAGAACGTGTAGTGGATGTCTCCACACCACTCCACATGCTCGAGCACAGGTGGTTATAAAATAATAATATTATTTGCACATTCAAAACGTAAATTGTTGTTGACATTGTGTGATGTGTAAAAGATTTGACCATTGATTTAGAGTGTGTTTTGTGGAGATTAAAATTAGATTTTCAGTAGATTGTAATAAAAGTGTTTGAAATGTGTGATTGAAAAGTTATGGAGTCCATAAAAAATGTGGTTAATATTAATTGTTTGATTTTGACTTAAATTAAAATTTGAACCTAATAGGTGCTCAAATAATCATTATTCAAATAAATGATCACATCATACAATTTTGACAAAAATGTCAACAAAAATATAAGCGTGGCATGGTTGGTTGTAAAATGCACTTGGACGTCTTTACGGCACCCACGGAATGTCCATGTGCTGTGTTAACACCGCCTGGTAGGTCCCACTTCCCTTATAAACCATTTTCCATGTCCTTTCCTACTACAACCATTTTTCCCTTTCATCATCATTATTCGTCTAACTTCTTGTCCACTTTTGCGTGCGTTTAATCTTTTACTTTATTTTTTAATTGGGTGATCTGTAAGCTGAATCAAGTTTTACTGGGTTTGAAACCAAGGAATTTGAATTTTATATTTTACAAATAATATTAAGAGTCAGTCCGATTGTGATTATGAAAATTGATTTTTTAACCGTTACAGCGAAAAGTGATCTCACCTGTGAGTGCAGAAATCAAAAATAACGTCTAAAATAATGAAATAATAGTCAAAAAATTAATTTTTTAGGATCAAGAATTGGTATTAAACGAGGGCTAATAATGGGATTAGGATACCTAGTAAAAGAGTTTTAAGAGTTTGTGAATTAAATATTCATATTATTCCATTCACGTGATGGTAAGTACTGAGAGCACGTGAAAGGGATTTTATTTTGTCTTTCCCTTACAGCTGGCCAGTTAATAATAGAAAGGTCAAATACAATTGGGAAATTTAATTTTAAATAATTATAATATTACTATCACATGATCAAAATACTGACATTTGTTGATTAACTAGCATTCTTTTTTTTTTTTTTTTATTTCCAGGTATCCCAACTTCGTCAGACTAAATTCTGGACCTTTAGCCACCGGCCCCTCAGTGACTCGAGGAGGTAAATCGCAGGTTATACCCTTGTTGGCTCCCAAGTTTCCACTTGGTTTATACTCCTGACCCCAATAGAATCCTCCTCAGTGCGTTGATTAGGAATCGAACTCCCCACGTTGAGGTTGCAAGCCCGCCATAGTGATTGTTCCACCAACTCGGATATACCCTAGGGGGCGATTAATTAGCTTTCTTTAAATCTACCTTTTGTTGCTTGCAAAAGAATTTCATGAATTCTTATTTTACGTTTTTAATTAACTTCATTTATCCCTCTTTGATTTAACTAAATAAGTGGATAGAAATTTAAGTCAAAGTCACAATTAATATTAGCCACACTTTATGGGATCAACAACTTTAATATATATATATATATATATATATATATATATCACATCAAGGGAGAATTATTTTATGGACGATTTTAACCTCTATATATTTCAATTATTTCAATAAAACATTACTTTTCGTTTTTCGATATGTAATTAATACTAACCAAATATTACTTTTACTCACTTATAAAGTTTTTTTTTTTAAATAACGTGTAATACACGTTCAACTTTAACTAGTCACTATAAATACAATATGACATAGAGCATAAACTTTAGTCCTATTTGACACCCATTTAATTATTATTTTATTTTTTTTTAAGAAATGTGTTTAAAATTTAGAGAAATTTTTTTTAAAATTTACGTACAAAATTATTTTATTGAGAGAATATATGATTAAAAATGAGTTTTAAAGGTAATTTTTAGAAAATGGCCTCAAACGGAGGCTTTTATACAACTTATTTGGAAATTATACAAAACCTTTTTTGCATCTTATCTAAATAGTTGCATTAAATTGACTATGTAGTTAAATAGAACTCGTGTGAAATGATCTCAAATTTATTCAAACTAAAATTTTCCATCTGCAAGGTTTTTGGTCAAACAGTACTATTCTAACTACGTTAAAAGTCAACGCATTAACTGCCAGTACGTATTGCTTGTTTAAGAGCATAAAATGTAGTATAAAGCTACTCAAATAGGGGCATTTGATAGGATTACATGCACCCGTTTGCCCCTTTAAAAATTAAAATAATATAAAACTGTCCAATAAATATTCGACAAGTGTCTCCTATTTTTAAATCCTGTTATTGACCTTATTTGTGTACCATGACTATAAAATGTACAGAAGTGCTTCAGACCCCGGGATTAAATCTTGGGTTTCAATCCACCTCGGCCCCTTGATCTTCAATCACGCAGGGCCCGAGCGATTCACATCAGCGGCAGAGGTTGGCTCCAAAATCGGGATTTTATCTCGGGTTGAGCAGCATTATTCTAAAATGTAAATTGTTGTGGGCCGATTTATATTACTTGAATTTGTCTTGACGTAAAGATTAGGCAGTGGAATCCGGTGTCCCCTCCTCCACCATTATTTTGCATTTGCATGTGCCGTGATTGCAGCATTATTGTACATGATTTCAACGCGGTCCATTCAAAAAAATTGAAATTTTGGAGACATTGGATCGGGCGGGCACCTAATTAAGTGTATGGAATTTAGAAATAAAAACTCATTTTATTCATACGTTTTACAATGAAATTGTGCTACTATTATAATGTACACAAGTTTTGAGGAAAACACAATACGAGATAGTGTAAAAAAATAAAGAATACATCCAGCAAAGTACTTGTAAATTCATCGAAATATGTGAATACTACAATTTATAAACACTAGACAAACATTTGCTTAAGAATCATGTAATTTTCGATATATTACTACACCTTCAAGGAATTGTGTTCAAAATCCGGTAACTTGAAAAAATATGATCTATCGTTCAAAATAACTTTGGTGATTGTTGTCGGAAATTTGACTAACGCAATCAAAAGAACAAATAAAATAAACAGAAAAATAGAAAACAGTAAATGAAGCGAGGTATGCCAATAAAATAAATAAATCTCCTTAAAACAGATTTCGCCCCCCAATGAAGTGCAAACGGGATTATGGACGTCTGTCTCCCAAGATACAACGCTCCTTCCAAAGTCGATACTGCACAATACCAACCTTGTCGGTCGATCCAATGAAAGATCGTACTCGAACGGAATAACCACGGAAATATAAGAGAGTTTTTAGAGTAGAATATGGAGAGAGAAGAATTTAGAATCAATTGAATTCGTAATTGATTTGGTGTGTCAAAAAATGAATCTGGGATTCTCTATTTATAGAGATTGAAGTGTTTCATGGAACAAGTGTATGACATTTCAGGAACTGGTGCACCACTTGGTCTAATTCGTCTTAGCTATTGGATCACACTATTTCATGATCTGACGGCTCAGATTGAACCATGAAGCGAAGTGTTCATTTATCATGCCTATTCACTAATTTTTGAACAGTCACAACCATGCGTACATCTAACCGCCACGCAGGACGAAGGGACACGACCTACCACACGTGCGCCACCTAGAATGCCAAATCACCGAGCCTTACACTGCCACGTCATCGAACCACGAGTCCATTTTCGAAAACTATAAGGCTCCCCAACTCCTCACGACGATGCGTAGTGCCAAGTGCGCCTCTAAAACGCTCAATGCGTACTTTGCGACTTGCGCGTGCCGGGACCGGGACCAGGACCGGAGAGGGTGCGAAGCACCACTCTAGTAGTGACTAGCCTTTGACTAGCTAAAGTCAGCCAAGTGATAGGTAACTTATTAAATTATATATTATTCACACAACAAACTGTATAAACAAGACTATTTTCTTGTAAACTTTCGATATGAGACTCCTTTCCATATAAAAAACACTTAAAATGGGCTTATCAACATATGAGCCTATATTGGAGACTTTTCCAATTCACCCAAATTAATTGCAATGACCCACCTCATTAAATATTACATTTAATATTTTAAACCCAAATCAAATTTAATTAATTCCAACAATCGAGAATTAGGTTGTTGACTGGGACTGAACTATAATTCATGTTGGCTCTTGGAATGATTCCTAGAGCATGCGTCCAACTTTATTTGAGTTGCAATGCTGACAAATTATTACTTTGTGCTCGAATATATAGTTTTGTTGTCACACATAAACATGTTCGTCAAGCAAAAGTTCAACCTTCCATATGAGTCAATTTCATTGATATTACATGTACATTAACTTTTGCATTGAGTTTGACATCTGTTGACATGAAATTCATCATAGCTATTGATTTTTACGACGGCGCGTCACTAGTCAAATTTTTGACACATAGGAAGGAATATACAAATAGCATAATTCTAATTCTAATTCAAACCGAATTTGTTCTTTTAAATCATGCTTGGTGTACATTGTCTTTGACATTTTTTTGACAAAATGTCACACGG